CACTGTAATGGCTTCCTTCTCTGCGAACAGATTTTGAAGAAACACTTTTCTTAAGTTTGTTCGTCAAAACTGAACAGAACTTAAATGTAGAAATAATTCATTAGGGGTGACATTTAAACTATACAATAATAATAATAATAATAAAATTAAAAAAGTGTACTTCCTAATTTGAATTAATAAAATATTTTTTTCCATAATGACCTACAAATATTTATTCTTCTTGAAGTACATGAAATCCAGGAAATCTAACATGATGAGACTATAATTCAAACAAGGAAGTTCTGAGCAAAAATCATACTTCCTTTCTCCATAGACATCTAGTCCTATACACCTACTGTTAATACTATATTATAATTATTCGTGTTCCTCCGAGTAATCTTAGGGACTTCTCATTGTTTGGTGTTTGTCCCTCTAATAAACACCGTCCTTCTGCTCGATGCGCCTATGCTGCCAATGCGGTGGGTAAAGATCTCGACATATTTGCAATAGGAACAGTCTCTGTCACTGAACCTAAAATTGTTAATATTTGTTAATGATACTCTTAATATTACATGTGTGTATGTATGTATTTATTTTATGTCTTATTTCACTGTTCTCTCCTGTTAATGTTAACTTTAATTTTTCTTGGAATTATTAATCTATTGTCATTATGTAGACTCTCAAATTTGTATTTGTTTTTAATTATATTTATGTAATTCTATGTACTCATGCTAACCTTGTAATTGGACTCTGTGCTGTTAAGTTGCAAGTAAATTATTATTACTATTATTGCTCCTGCTGTTGTCATCATCACATGAGGAACATGTTACTTAAATACAGACTGATTACATTAACCTGTCAGATAGCCTCAAGAGTTACACACTACCTCCATCATCATAATAAACATGACATGCAAGTATGTTTTATGACCTATCTCTGTACCAAGTTTCACGTGTCCAGCTGCAGTGGTTCAGTAGTTAATGTCATCACACTGGAACTGAAGGTCAAAAAACAATTTCTACACACTTTATCAACTGTCAGAATTACTGGGTTTTTAGACTTTGTCAATTGTCTAGAAACTAGAAAACACAGCGTTTCGGAAACTGGATCTGTTTCCGAAAACCCAGTAATTCTGAGTGTTATACACCACTGTCAGAACCCTCTACAATCTATTTACCAGCTGCCCTAATGAACATTCACTTTATACATAGAATTAGATTAAAGGAGCTGGAATGAAGTGACAGTCTACAGTCTATTTACACTCCATTTTTAACATAGCCCACTAGCTATCCTGCAGCTCAAATAACGCACAGTACTTTGCCTAATGGGGCCATTTCATACTCAACTGGTTCCTTCAGTTGGAGTCCCAGGCAACAAAATTGTAATTCAGTCACATCCTCAGGCACAAATAGGACATGTGATCCATGTCAAGGCACCTTTTATAGAGGCACCCATTTACCAGTCCCAGTTTAAATAGGTGTCCCTTCAACTGACAGTACTGTATAGTGATTGAGCTGAGTATTTCTGATATGCGGAGGCCTCGGACTGCATCTAGGTTAACCATCTGCTTTTTATTCAAGTGTCCTTCAGCTGCACATGTTTTTTGTGCTGTGGTTGGTCATCAACACAAGAAACTGATGTACCAGCAAGAACATTCAACACAGCCACAACCAACAAAACCATAAGGGAAACACCAGCAGCTCAACGACACCTAAACAAAAAACATGACTAACCTACATAACCAGATGCAATCTGAGGCCTCTACATTTACAGAAACATAATAGCATTACAATAAGCAGCAGGTTCTGTGATCACAACAAAGAAAAGCAAGTGAATAGTAACAAAAATCACACATACACAGCATCAAAACAAAACACAAGTCAGATGATATCATGCATATGTGTTACCCACCTACATGCAAACATAGCAAAACAAGAGAGGCAGTTTGTTGGGCATGGACACACACATTTCTTCCTGTAATACTGTAATATTATCTTCCCGCCATGTTTCAGTCTTGCCATACATGGAATTTCACTTCAGTCTTGACATGCGTAGATTTTCACGTGTCTTGACATGCACAGAATTTTCCATGTCTTGACATGCCCAGATTCTCACTTCAGTCTTGACTTGCACAGATTTTCACTTCAGTCTTGACATGCACAGATTTCCACTTCAGTCTTGACATGCCCAAGATTCTCACTTCTTTCTCGATATGTCCAGATTTTCACTTCAGTCTTGACATGACCAGATTTTTGTGGCACAGCCTCAAGAGAAAAGACTATCTGAAAGACCCAAGCATGGATGATAGGGCAGCAAAATGGATGTCAGAGAAATGCTGTAACTTGCTTGCTATGACTGCACAGCAACAGCTCCTTGCTCTTATGGCAGATGAGTCACTTGAGGTCTCGTGCTGGCGAGTCGCAGGCCTGAAACAATTACATGAATAGCATTAAAAAAACAGGTTCTGATTTGCATGCGAATCTCTTTGTACGATTTCAAACTTTATCCACTTTTAATTTCAACAAAACGTAACGTGTCTTGCAATGACACAAAAAAATTTATATTTATATAACATTCCTGCATGATAATACTTGGCATTTCCTCCTCCTAGAAACATGTTTGCTGGTACTCTCAGGTTCAGTTTTTGCCTCAAGAGAGAAAAATACAATGCAAAGGTAAATGTGTGAGACTTTTGACAAGTTTGTGAATACAGATCAAGTATTTGCTATTATACATGGTGGCCTAAAGAAAATGTATTAATAATATCCATATTAGAACACTGTAAAAATACATAAAAGTAAAGACTTTTGCTCCTAATATATGGGAAATTAATTTCCATTCCATTACAAATGCATGCCATGCAATCCTGCACTATTTACGTATAAAAAATTTAATGAAAAAACTCACGCTTATTTTCCATTTGTATTACTGATATTACTAATTAATTAAAAATCCTGTAATCTCCACCGAAGTTAACTTAACGAAACACGCAAAAAACCTGTACGCCCATCGACCTGCTCACTTACAAATCAGCAACATGGCCGCCATAGCACCACGATGCAATGCTGCTGCCATCTCTACGCATTCACTCCTAACTAAATACAAAATGGCCGCCATATCTGACAGCATAAACTATAAGAACGCATGCTGATATATATCACCTTTTGGGTGCTCCTACCCATATCCTGAGCCAGATCAATCCAATTCATCCCATCTTTCTAGGGTCCAGTTTAATATTGTCCACCCACTTACGCCTTCGTCTTCCCAGTGGTCTCCTTCCTTTTGGCTTTCCCACCAATCTCCTATATGTATTCCTTTTCTCCCATGCCCTACCCATCTCATCCTCCTTGACTTGATCATTCTAATTATACTTGGAGAAGAGTACAAGTTATGAAGCTCTTCATTGTGCAATTTTCTCTCACCTCCTGTCACTTCATCTCTCTTTGGTCCAAATATTCTCAACACCCTGTTCTCAAACACCGTCAGTCTATGTTCCTACCTTAATGTCAGAAACCAAGTTTCACACCCATACAGAACTACAGGCAAAATTATAGTTTTGTATATTCCAATTTTTATGTTTTTGGGCAGCGGACGAGAAGACAAAAAAGGTTCTGGACTGAATGGTAGCAAGCATTACATCTGAATTCACTCTCTTAATTTCCTCCTGAATCAGGTTTCAATCTGTTATCGTTGTTCCCAAGTATCGAACTGCGCCACATTTTCAAAACATCTGTTTCCTATCTTTATGTCATGATTTTGCCCTGCATCTTGGTGATGAATCAGCAACATATACTTAGTTTTCTCTGTGTTTACTTCTAGATCAACCTCTTAACATGCATCAGTTAAAGTTTGTGTGTTTTTTTAATGTATCTACATTTTCACCCATTAGAGTCACATCATCGGCTTAGACAAACAGCTGATGTGTCCCGTTTAATTTCAGTCCCACCTGGCTTCCCTGGACCTTCCTAATTCCATATTCCAAGACAAGGTTGAAAAGGAGTGGTGATAAAGCATCTCCTTGTTTTCAACCATTCTGGATAGGAAATTTATCAGACAAATGTTTACCTACATGGAATTTACTATACGTTTTGTTTGAACACATTTTAATCACCCTAACTACTTTCATGGGTATCCCAAACTCTATCAGAATATTGTACAACACTTCCCTCCTAACTGAATCATAGGCTTTCTTGAAGTCTATGAATAACTGATGTACTGTCTCATTGTACCCCCATTTTTTCTCCAATATCTAACGAATGCAAAAGATCTGATCTTTAGTTCATCTGTTACGTTGAAACCCACCCTGATGATCCCCAATAATTTCATCTATATATCAACTTAACCTTGAGAGAAGAATATTGGATAAAATTTTGTATGAAGTTGATAGCAGTGATATCCCTTGATAATTACTACAGTCAGTTTTATCACCCTTCTTGTGAACTGGTATAATTATAGACTCCTTCCACTGATCTGGCAATTTTTCCTTATGCCAAATAGAATTAGAATGTGGATCTTAGAACGTAATATTTCGCCTCCTGCTTGAATAAGTTCTGCCGGAATTTGATCATTACCTGGTGATTTATACAGTTTCAATTTTGCAATAGCACTTTCAACATTAAAAGGGCTAGGATCAGGTACTAACAGCT